TTGCAGTATTTTAACAGGCAGGTCTCTTTTTAGTTTGTTTAATATTGATAATATTTGTTTGTTTCACAGTGATTGCAATGAGTCGTCTTTCAATGTTCTTCCCAACAGCCAATCAGGAGGTTTTGTCTCAGACCATAAAAATGAGTGCTTCTGAAGAAGATGCTGTAAAATCGTTACTAATCAGAGGATATCCAATGAAACGAAGAGATGTTCCTAAATGAATGTGTTATGTAAATGTGGTTTTCCGTAAAAATAAAACATCAATGACCTCGCTTTTAGACTTTTTAATTTATAAATCGTGTATGAAGCATATACTAATTTTGAGTGTTTAATGCTGTTATTGAATGTCACTGTTGACTTCTTTTATGTGCAATTTGCATATACAAGTATGTGCAGTATACAATTATCATGCATTTTTCCATTTTGGCATTTATACATTTTGGCTTCAGATGAGTAAATAAAATTAAGTGATTTACTTTTGGACTACAAACAAATCAGTTGAGAAAAATTGTACAGCTGCCACCTTGATTGCCGACCAAGTGCCGCCCCCGACAATATTAAGTTAGCTGTTAGCAAAATTAAATGCAAAAATCAGTTCACTATTTGTAATTGAGATCAATCACCAAATACAGTAAAATGAATGAATAATGTTGATCAATCACATTCATCGCTTTTTTTGATCTACAATTAAAAATTTACAGTGCAAACTACCAAGATTGCTTTTGACATTTGCCACAGACAATTACATACATAAACAGCTGTATACTTATGGCCAGTATGATATGATTGCCCTTCCAACCTGGATGGAACTAATGCGAATTACAGTCATAATAGTGATATATATCAACATGTAACTCAAAATTCAAATTCATGAACATAGTGTTATTTCACCCTAAGCCGATGCGACGCTACACCATAGTAACCATTCAATGCGATGAATACTCAATTTCTACGCATTTCGAATCGGACCCAGACGACCCATCTGTTGCTACAGTCGCCTCAACAGTACACTCAAGACCATTAACGTGCTAGTAAGCTGGCTGTCTGCATTTGGATCATTTGCAGTCTATCGTGCCTTCTATTTTCTGCAAGAAGCAGTGCACCTCATCAATTATATCAGATTCATTGGCGAAAAATCGGACATCTACAAACCTGAAGCATGGCTTGCATACGATAAGGCTTTTCGTGAAGACGTACCCTGCTGCCCCAATGTCTGCAACTGGAGCGTACCTGACCCATCTATGGACTATACCTACTTTCAGCAGCACCCACATTTACTACTAGCACTCTGCTACGAGTGTAGGCAACGGGGCCACACTAGACAAGAATGTCCAGCACTACGAGGCACTAACAACCAGCACCCAAAACAATTTCATTCAGCCACAAAAACCATAGCCAACTTTCCAATAATGACTACATCTGCAACAAAATTCAATAGGGGAGTATGCACAACACCATGCCCACACAGTCGTCAACATATCTGCAGCACCTGCAGCAGGTCAGATCATCCTGCATCATTCCATCGGCCAACAACACGGCAGAAACCATTTCTCACAAGACCAAACAGCAGGGCCTTGCAGCCCTTTCGGCCAAATGACAATGTCCACCAACGTGATAAAGACCATGTTTCCAACAATACTGCTTAACCTAAAAAAACTTCGCTAATGAGCTAGGCCATGCCATCGGCCCCTTTGAAGAACCACTATTCACAAATCTGGTGGTCAACTCGTCTTATCATAACCAACTGGTGACAGTGTAAACACTTTCATCAACAAAGACCATTATTCATTGTCTTATTCCATGATAGATGACGCAGTAGCACTTATCATGAAACATTTCGAGTGTGCCCGGTTAGAAAAGACACTGGCATTTTCTCTGTTACAAGTGGCAGCGCTTCTACTTCTTTGATAGAGTCCTTCTTCACGGTAGGCCGACCTAAAACTGGTAAGTGCCAGCACATCAAGGACATCATGCTCAACACATGCGACCATCTGGGTGTACTAATTGCGAAAGAAATAAATCCTTTCTTGTCATCTAACTTGACAGCAATGCCATGGTCATAAGACTGCC